GGCTTTACCATCTTGGCTTTAGTAGGTCTAGAAGACAATGGATCACCATCTCTGTTGCTGTAATGTGTTCAGCATTATATGCTAGTAGAATCTAGTTTAATTGTTTCAGGTGGAAAGCATTCTTTTGAGTTTCCATTTTTGAATGTGTTTGGACTAAAACAATAAACTACTGATGTCTGCAGCATTTATCTATGTCCCTAATTTAATCTGTGGTTTTATGTTAACAACTATTTTCTCCAGTTGCATTTCATTTCATTTTTACAGTAAGTAAAAATGAGTTCTAAAACCAGTTTATTATGTGCGAAATTTGATGTATACAGTATCAAAACATTTAACACTAGAATGTTAACAAGTGAGGTAGCTGACGTACGAGTGTAAGAATGTCAGACTTGGTAGTAAGATTTTTGGTTACCAATAAATGCACCACGGGTAAACCTCATCGGCTGTGGTCCTGCCGCTGTGTGTAGCTGTACTTGGTAGTAAAGAAGGTGAAATGAAGCCACAGCAGTTCACCAGATAGTTGTGTAGCTGGGATTTCTATATGATGGCCGTGATCTCCAAAAAATGAGAACATTGCAGTTTTAAAATTAACAGGCATGATGGCAGATGAGAAACCAGAGCACATTGATCAAGCTCTACCAGAATATTAAACGAGAGATCATAATTTAGTCTTCACCATCCTCAGACAAAAACGAGGTTCCAAAGGTTATATCCCTTTCAAACTCAACTTTTTTTTTTAAAGGGGATAATATTCTTTTTCCTTGCTGATACATTCATATATCAATAGTAATACATCACTGTTTGATTCCTGAATTAATCTTTACTAGTTTGTCCTGGAGTCAAACCAGAATAACCATTGCTTAAATAATCTGAAGGGATTAATTAAGGTTTTGGGGAACCTAATTATAATGTAAAGGCCTACTTTATGACTGTAGAAAAGCATCTTTAGCGGGGAGAAATTATCCCCTACTGTACTAGAAATAGACCAAATTTGAAGGAACAATTAGTCCTTGACATTTTTAATTTTTCAGTGACCTGAGATGAGATCTCACCATATTGCCCAGGTTGATTTTGAACTCCTAGGGCTTGAGTGATCTCAAGTGCTAGCTAGGACTGGAGGTGTGTGCCACTACACCCAGTTTGCTCATATATTGATGTCTTTGATATTTTGGTGCTGGACATAGGACCAAGGACCTCACTTGCGCATTTTACCACAGAGCTGCGTCCCTAGTCCAGTAAATTCATATGGAGCAAAGTACTTGAAACTGTTGTCCAAGATGTTTCATTTCAATGTATATAGTTTTTTAATGGTAGTCTTTGGAGCACATAAATGGAAAATTAGGTAGTAAACTTGAGTTCGTATTTTTCCTTTACATTATTTTGAGTTGTTCATCTATTTTGGGGTTTTTTAATTTATTTTTTTTTATTGAGAAATATGAATGAGACAGTTTCACAGCTGATTAATAGGACAGTTTGGTAATACATTGTTCATTGTTATCTTCTTAGTGGTTATCCATAGTAAAAGAAGCAGACAGGATATTCTGTCCAAACACTGTTAGTACACCTCTTCCTTCTCATTGAATTAAGCGAAAGTAGCTGTAAATTTATCCTATTTTGTATATATAAATACAAAATGATTTTTACTTTGTATCCTTTTTTTTTTATTGTCTGTCAAGTGAATATTCTATTGGCATCTAAATACTATAGGTGTTTGAATTCAACTAAACAATCTTAACACTGTCTAGCAGTCTATTAGTTATCTTCAGAAGTTATTGACTTGAGCCTTTTACAGCTCATCATATTGATATGGCTTTACATACCTCATTTTTATACTTTTCTGCTGGATGGTTAAGACCAAGATATAACAAGACCTACATAACAAGAAATGTAACTTTTGTATCTGATAAGGTCAGCCAAGTACTCTCAGGATTTATCCTGTAGCCCTGAACCACCCTTTATACATCCTTTTGTCAGTTCCTGATAGGATGAGTCACAGCCATTGCTTGACCAATTTGCTCTCTGAAAGCTTGAGAAAATATTTTTTCTCTCCATGTGACTCTCCCCAGGCTCACTTTACATCATCAAACACATTCCTCTGTGATTCCATAATCTTAATCAGAAAATTTGGAGCACAACTGAGTTATGTGTTGTTACAGTAAAGGTTCTCATCTATATTTTAAATCAACGGAGACCATAGATTTTCTTAATTTAGTCTTTTATAAGGCTGATAGGTTTTAGTAAGGTAACAGAAAATTGCTAAAAAGAGAAAAAAGATTATTTGCTAAATAATAAAGCCACTGGCTACTTTTGACAAATACAGGCTAAAATCTTCAG